TAACACAATGCATGTTCTGTGATGCCAGTGGAATTACTGCAGAGATTAGCAACAGGCATGAGGTCACTCAGTGGAAGAGCACTTGCCGAGTATGCATGCGTGAAAGGGCAGGGAAATTCATAACAATACTGATTAAGAAAGACTTTCAAATGAACAAGCTCAACTTCTGTCTAGAGGAGCAAGGAACAAGAGCAGAGGAACCCAAGAGGCAGAATGGAGGCATGGTAATGTCATGCCACACAAGTTACAGAACCACAACAGAAAAGCTGTAGACAAAGTGGAGGAAACAGAACATGATTGGTTGGAAACAACAGCAAAATTGACAAAGAAAAACAGAGGAAGGACAAAAGTTAACATATACAAACAGGCCTGCTGGAGCAATTACAAGAATAGTAGAGAATAAAAATCATTTTATGTCCGTGGGTTTGACAATTCAGACAAAGCAGATAGGTTCCTTGGAAGACAGAAACTACCAAAACTAACTCAAGAAAAAAAAATTTTTTTAAAAAGGTAACTTTAAAAGTCCATGTGTATTAAATAACTGGAAGTTTTAATTAAACCTACACACATACACATACACACACCCCACAAACAAAAAATGAAAACCTAAGCCCATTGATAAACTGCACCAGGCATTCAAGGAGAATGATATGGTACTATACATACTCCCAAATATAAGAAAGGACACTATGTCATGATCAGGAAAGCCTTCTTTATCTACAGCTGCAAAACTGGCTTTACCTCCAAAAACCAGCCACTTCAGGAAAATTAAGGTAATGGCCACAAGGACACAGAAAAACACAGGACAGGTCAGCACACCTTCCTGACTCTCAGAATGGACTGTTCCCAGACTAGGGACAGAAAGGAATTTCTTTGACTTGGCAAAGGGTAGCTATCAATGTAAAAATGTAAAGAAAAAATTATAATCAGCCTCACACATAATGGAAAACTACTACTTTCCCCTAAAATGAGGAACCAGATGCTTACATTCAATCTTAACTTCTGTTTAGTCCTTCACCTGTTGCCTTTACTCAGTGTACACCTGTGATCTCTTGGTGAGGTGGCAAGCGAGACGGTCATAATGTAAAGCTCCATCACAGCAAGAAGTACAGCAAACTGACTGTCACATGTGCTAGCTGAGTGTGTAATTTTGGAAGTGTTTCACAGATTTCTGAAGAACTGAGCCTGAATCTAACATATGCTCCGGCCATCATACTCCCAGGCCCAAACCTAACAGAATTGAAGGTCCACAAAAGACATATGCACAGATGTTCACCACAGCTCTATTTCCAGCTGAGGTCAGGCAGTGTTGGGAAGCGGAGAGCCCTGTACAAAAGCCTTAAAAGGGCAAGAGGCTGTGAGAGGCCATTGCATGAAGCTGTGACATCCAAGCTGGGTTGCAAGGAAAACCCCAGGATGCTGGAGATGCTCAGCCAAGAGGTATCAGCCAAGGAAAGTTGCAGGCAGGAATTGGAACCATCTCTAGAAGAGATGTATGTTGCAGGCAGCAAAGTGGGTGGGAGGTTGTGCCATCTGAGCACTTTAAAACTAAAGCCCTAGGCACCAGACATGGAGCTATAGGATTTATTGTTTTCTCTCCTGAGTTTCAATCTTACTTTGGTCCAGTATTTTCCCACTATACCCCCATACCTCCCCTTTGGAAGGTAATACATATTTCATTTCCTTGTATATTGGAATGTACATAATACATCTGTGTATATAACATAGCACTACTTTTTAAATTTGAGATTGAGTTTCAGAAGATACTCCACTGGAGGCAGGTTTTTGAGAATTTATGCCCTCCATCTCTCTCTCTCTCTCTCTCTCTCTCTCTCTCTCTCTCTCTCTCTCTCTCTCTCTCTCTGTTTTGTGTGTGTGGCTGAAGATTTGTGATCTCTGCTTCCTGCTTCAAAGACCATGTCTGCTTCTTACTGCTATACCTTCCTGCCATAGTGAACTTTTATCCCTCTGAAACTAAGCCATAATAAATTCTTCCATAGATGCTTGGTCATGGTGTATTATCATAGCAACAGAAAAGTAACTAATACAGCACCCTGAATGAAAATGAGGACATGAAGCCGGGCGGTGGTGGCACACGCCTTTAATCCCAGCACTCAGAAGCCAGAGGCAGGCTGATCTCTGTGAGTTCGAGACCAGCCTGGTCTACAAGAGCTAGTTCCAGGACAGCCTCCAAAGCCACAGAGAAACCCTGTCTGGAAAAAAAAAAGAAAAAGAAAAAGAAAAGAAAATGAAGACATGATCGCTCCAAGGTATGGTTGAAGAGAAGGATTTTATTGTAGATATGAGGGAGAGTTCAGCCAGATGCATCTGGAAGGGTCCAAACTGAATGGGGCCATGAGTGAGGAGGAGCAAGAGGGGAAAATGAGATATGGCAGTCAGACCAAGAGAAGAACCAAGGACCTACTATGCCCAGTCATCAGGGCCAGGAGTGGCATTATGACAAATAGACCTTCTATTATGATTAGGTTTTGTCAACTTGACACTAGCTAGAGTCATCTGTGAAGAGGAAACCTCAATTGAGGAACTGTCTCCATCAGATGGGCCTGTAGGCCAGCCTCAGGAACATTTTCTTTGTGTGAGGACCTAGCCCACTGTGGATAATGCCACCTCTGGACAAGTGGACCTGTCTAGTATAAGACAGCAAGGTGAGCAAGCCATGAAGAGCAAACCAGTAAGCTGTTTTCCTCAATAGTTCCTGCCTTGACTACCTAGGGTCTGAAGTCTGTGGTGTGAGCCTGAGTACCTTCAGGGTTCAAAAGTTGGGACAAGGGACCTGGACAATACCCTACCTGCACATACTGTGGCTAGGAAGCTTGTGATACCCCCTTCTTGATGTACACAGGGACAACCATCAGTATACCAAAGCCCTTTGGAGGCAACTACACCACAGGCATACAGCATGCTTTAGAGCTGGCTCTCAAATATGGGTATTACTCAAGCACTTCCACAACAATGTGCCTACAGAAGGCTGTGGCACTGAAGGGACCAGTAAGATAAGACACCATGAACAAGATGAGAGGGCCTGAGACATTTCCACAGAGTATAGGCTGCAGAGAGTTGCTGGACATGGGCCCACAGGACCCTTTGCCAGCACAAACTATCACAATGTTGTTCCAGGGCCTCATATAATTCCTGACACAGGACCTAGAACAAGGGAGACTAGGTCCCACCTGGAAGAGGGAAGGTCAACTCTCATAGTGAATGGATAATGGGTCTGAGTGACTCAATCCTGTCACCTGAAAACTAAGTGACCTACTTACTGGCCAGTGAGGTTTGGGACATCTGTCAGTGGGCCACGTTGGCTTGTTCTGAAGACCACCCACGAGGCCCATTTTTAGTTTCCAGGACAGACTGGGAGATGGAGAGATCTTTCTCCAGATCCTCATAACCTGCCCCAGGGATAGTTTGCTGCATTATGACCATGTCAACACCCACTGTATCTGAGGGCTGGCTCTCTGACACATCCGCTTCTCCACTGGAAAGTGCACTTTGTCTCACCAAGAAAACAGACAAGTCTATTTTCCCATAATGGATGTCCACACACCTCAAGTTTGCCTAGTGACATCACTCTTCCAAAATTAATGCAACCTGCTGGTCATGCTCACTGGGTTTGGTGGGCAAGAAGTTACATGCCCTGGAGGGCTTAGTTAAACATACTTCTAAGAGGTGGAAGACAAGCTATGAAAAGCTCAGGACCCTCCAGGGAAGCCTGTGGTGATCCCATGGCAGTGGGAAATGTCATATTTTATTGTAAGTGAGGGGTCACTGACAGGCATGGTGGTCCTCATCTTAGCACTAGGGTGACTGAGACTGAAGGGTCAAGGGTTCAAGGCCAGCCTAGGGTCCACAAAGGGATAAAAAGCACTACAGAAGGTCATTGTATTTCATTCACTCTGCCCACTTTTAAGAGGCACAAGGCCAGAGGAATTCTGAATTTAGATGTAGCCATGCAGTATGTGCAAGCACTCCATTCAGGGCTATTTCCTGGGCAGTAGGTAATACTAACTTGGAAAAGTTTGGCAGCAGGCCTAGGCTGGGCTTCCATGGGCTGCCGGAGACAAGGGAAATGTGCAGAATGAATTAAGGAAATGTGTAACCAGCAGGCCACTGTGTCTTAGCACACCAGGGACTGGTACTGAGAGAGAGGGTTCTTCCAATGGGCAGAACCAAGGTGATATATCCAGCTTATTTTGAATAGTAAATATATTCCTCACCCCAAAGGCTTGCATGTTAAACAATTTGTTTCCAGGTAGTGGTTCTGTTTTGAGAAATTCTAGAAACTTTAGGAGGTAGGGCCTAGTTGAACAAAGCAGGTCAGTGAAGAAGTGTTTTTGAAGGTTACACTTAATTTTATCCTTACTTTGCTTCCTGTTCCCAGGGTGAGGTGAACACACACCCCCAACACAAGTTATCATCTTCATGATGTTCTTACCAAGTGCATGGGGCTAAGCAACAAGGCATTCGAAGTTTACTGCAGCTATGGATGGCCCCAGGGTCCTCAACTACCATTCAAACTGACAGTAGACCTTTGTGTGATCCACAGGGTGCTGGCTTAGAAAACAGAATACAAGAATTACAGTTACAGGGTTACGTAGGCTTCCAGTCAGATTTCAAAGGAAGAATTGGGAGGCCAGATGATATGTGGCAAAGCTGGGATAGTTTTATGTCAATTTGTCACAAGCTAGAGTCATTTGGGAAGAGGGAGCCTCGAATGAGAAAATGCCCTAACAGGGAAAGCCTGTGTTGCATTTTCTTAGTGACTGATGTTGGAGGGCCCAGGCCACTGTGAAAGGTACCATCTTTTTGGCTGGTGGTCCTGGGGTGTATAAAAACATAGTCTGAGCAAGCCTTGGAGTCAGTAAGCAAAACTTCTCCATGGCTTCCACATCAGTTCCTGCCTCCAGGTTTCTGCTCTGACTTCCTTCGATGATAGACTGTAATGTGGAAATGGAAGTGAAATAAACTTTGTCCTACCCAAGTGGCTTATGCTCATCATGTTTAATCACAGCAGTGGGAAACCTAAGACACCTGCCTTGGAGAAAGGTGATAGGGGCTGTAATGGCCACACCACAAAGATAGAACTGCCTAGCACATTAGAGTTTATGTCACAATAAAATGTGCCCCAATCCTGGGAATGAATCTGCAGGGTTTATGTTTGTCTTGCTATGTTTTGGTCTTGCTTCAGTTAAATCCTTCCTGGTCATTTACTTTCCTGTTGAAATAGAGATGTATACCCTGTACAATTGTATTTCAGAAGTGTGTAACTTTCTTTTTGATATTACAGAATCTCAAGGTAAGAGTTTGTCTTGAGTCTCAGAGAAGGAACTGTGTGTACATTTGGACTGTGTGTACAAAGTGTGACGTGTGGTGTGTTTCTGGAAGTGAGTGTGTATTTGTGTATGTGAGGAGTGTGTGTGTTTGTGTGTGTTTGTGTGTGTGTGTGTGTGTGTGTGTGTGTGTGTGTGTGTGTACCACAGGTCAATGTTGAGTATCTTCTCTATAGTTCTCTATTTGACTTTTCTGAAATGGGATTTCTTACTGAACCTGGAGCTTGCAGTTTCCGGAAGACTGGATGGCCATTGAGCCCTGGCCTGTCTCTGGGTTATAAGTATATATTACCATCCCAGCCTTTACATGAGTGCTAGATATCTGAACTCAAGTCCTCATGATTGCACAGCAAGCACTTTACCCACTGAGCCAGCTTCCTGGTTCCAAATGTCAACTCTGAACAGCTGGGAAGAGGGAAGAAGGTGGTTAAAGGTCACTCCATCTGGGCCCTCTGTAATGTTCATCCACAAAGGTAGATCCCAAGACTGAGGTAGAGAAAGATACTTTAAAAGGAAATGGGGGAACAACAAAAGGAGTCCATAGTCAACTGACTAGCTAATGGCAGTCCAGCTCAACCTGGCTGACCCCACTCGCCAGTCAGCACAGGCTCACCAGTCACTAGGAGCCAGTGGCTCTCATGAGGCAGGGACATCCAGGTAAGTCACAGGGTCTGAGAAGGGGCCTGGCCGTGCCCAGTAGTCCAATGCTCGTACCCGATAGGAGCCGGAGACCACAGCTGTGTCTGCAGACACAAAAGTACACGTTTTCAGAAGTTCCTAAAACCTTGGACCCACCCCACACCACACTGTACTGAGGTCCACCAGGACAACTGCCAAGGTCAGGGTTTTAGCGCACCTGGGCTGAACACAAAGAGGTTAAAAGTTGACGGCCTCCTGCTGATTGGTGCATACTCCTCACCCTTCTGGGAGAACTGGATCTCGTATGTCCACAGGCACCTGGGGAGGGCTGGGTCAGTACTGAAGCTGGGCCCAGGCAAACCCTGAGGGCCTATTTGGGCAGGGTAGGGTAGACTCCCAACCCTCTACCCTTTAGAGTCCTTCCTGGCACTTCTAGGATCCCTGGGCACTCTCAAAGTTGTGACAGGCCACAGTGAGGGAAGAACACTGGAGACCCACTGTAAATGATCTCCCACTCAGACACAAGTGGATCTGTGCAGGCACGTGCAGTGTGTTGGAGCACAGAGGTACCCGGCAGTGGAGGAGGAAGATGAAAGCTCTCAAGGGCAATGGCGTAGGGAAGGGTAACCACCCCACTCACGCACTTGGAGCCCACATGCTCATCCGACCAGACCAGAACCAACTGCCCATGTGTCAGGGGCAGTGCGCGGAGCCGGCTAACCTGTGAGGAGGGAGTATCTGTGAAGGGGTGAACTAGGCATCCCCACAGGTAGGGTGGGAAGCTGCCACTTGCCTGCCCTGGTGGCTTCAAGGGGCGTGTGCATACATGCACCAGCAGAAGTGACGGCAAAGAAAGCTTCCTGTGTAGAGTCAGGCGGCCCCCAGCAGGGAAAGGGCGTGGTGCCTCAACCACTGGGTCCTGGGGACAAGGGAGGGGCATGCAGCTGGCAAACCTCCCCACAAACTAAGGAACCCCTTCTCCCTCCCTCCCTACTGGCTCACAAACCTCCACCATGCGCATACGTCGGAATTGCTCTGCAGAGGGGAAGACTGGCTGGCCCATGTGTTGCCACTCACTGGAGGGGCTGCAGAGTTGATTGTCGAGGTAGAGTACTACGTAGACAAGCCCTGTGGACCCAGACACCATGGTTTACCTCCCTTGTCCCACTCCTGCTGGGATCCCAAATTCCTTTAGAACCCCACTCACCCAAGCCAGGGGGTACCCCACGAAGGTGAAGAGTCACAGGGATACTGCCGTTGAGGTGTGCATGGGTGTCATCACTAGTGTAGATCAGGACTGTGGTACGCCAGGCCTCTGAGGAGACTTCAGGGCGATGGGTGCTGGCCAGGACACCCACTGTGTGATTGCTGTCCAACACAGCCCCAGCCTGTGACACCTCTGCCCAGAGTTGTTCTCCATCTATAGGCCAGGTAGAGGACTGGGCCGGTTAGCTGCCTCGTCCCCAGCTCCCGGCTTCCTACACTAGTGCCTGGCTCCCACTATTTGTGTACTGGGAGGCCTTGCCATACTGTTCAGCCTACAGAATGGGAGGAGGAGATGAAGCAGAGATTTGGAAAACAACCCTACAAAACCCATCCAGCATCTGGAAGAAGTAAGTTCGAACCTGCCCAGCATTTCCATGTTCTCTTACTCCAGGTCCTTCTATGCTGATCCTCACCCAATCCAGGACATGCCAGGCTACCATGGGATGTTCACACTGACCCAGCACATGCAGAAGTAGGGTCATTACTCACCCAACAGGGCCATCAGCCCCATGACTGTGAGGACTGGCTTTCGCAGGAGCTGCACATGGGGTGGGCAAGTATTGTTGACCTGAAAGCGGGCGGTAAGTGTACGCTGGGAGAAAGGGTGTGGGTGGTAGCTCAGGAAGGCATTGTCGTTGCTCAGGAGCACATAATGCATGGAGGAGCTGCTATTGGCAAACAGCAGGTTCTGGTGCTGTGCAATGACCTGTGGACATCAGGGCAGTTGGGACCTGTACCTCTGGCCACCTGTACTGTTCCTACCCCCACCAGAGGGAGGGTTCCTGAAGCCAGATGAGGCTAGATGGCAAGCACCCACCTTCACCACCAAGGCGGCATAAGTCACGTCAGCTCTCCAAGGTTGTGGCAGTGACCAACCCACCAGAGGGTCTGCCTCGTCATTGTAAATAGGGGTGTCCTTGAACTCAGGGAAGAGCTGCTGGATCTGTTCCACAACTGCCATCTCCTGCTCCAGGATGTACATGGAGCTGCCTGCGCCCTGCAGCCAGCACATACCTTAGTGCAGGCTCAGCTCAAAGCTGGCAAGGAGGGGTGAGGGAATCGCATACCTTCTTGTGCAGGGAGATATAATCCAGACGCACGCCCACCTCACCAGTGAAGAAGTTGGTTCCATTGGCACAATGACGCAGGAGGCTCCAGCACAGTGGTGACTTTGGCAGGGGGTGGAAGGAATCCCCAGGGCCACCCAACCTCAACATGGGACTGGCATCGTGCAACCCCTCAGAACAAGCATCATAGTAATTCAGGAAACCTAGGGCAGAAGGGTCTTGAGGGTCTGGGGTTGTTTGCTTCCCTCTCATGCAGCCCACCCAACAGGACCTGGAAAAATGTTACGCACCTTGTGTGGTCATGGACACATTGTCAAAGTCGTGGTGGTCTGGTTCATTCCAAGTCTCGAAGTTCCACTTGGAAACATGTGTCAGCCCATACCTATCTGCAGAGTGTGCCCCTGCTGTTACAGCTCTACCTTCAGGACTGAAGATGGAGCCTACCTGGTGTCTCCTAGGAATTGGGCCCCATGGGTGGGGTTCCATTTGATGGGGTTATCTGGTTCCAGGTAAGTACCCCACCCCTATCAGGTGAATCCCTCACCTACCAGGCATCTCTGGCTGGGGTATAGGGATGTCTGTGACTGAAGACCATGAGGTGGTCCCGGTGATCAGGGAGAAGGGCCTCCCAAGGACAGCCCACTGCAGACCCCTCCCCCCCCCCCCCCACCCCCCCCACACCCCCCCACCCTCTCCCCCCCCCCCTCCCCCTAACCCACCAACCCTAACCCTCTAACCCTACCCCTCTAACCCTAACCCTAACCCTAACCCTAACCTATATCTCCTGGCCAGGAGAGAAACCAAGTTCTTCCATTCAAACACCTGCTGCTTGTCCTCAAAGTCCGTGAAGTGGCCAGAAGGACTGCCCATCAGCTCAAACCCTGAAAGACACAGGGGTAGCTGCCCCACTACCCAACACACCAAGCCCAGCTGGGCTACATCTCACCAGCCCCTCAGTCAGTGCTAAGATACCACCACCCACCAGGACACAGAATGGCAGGTGGTGGGAGAAAACAGGGTCACTACTCACCAGGGAGAAGCTGGTTCTTCATGAGGAGGTCCAGGAAAACATCCAAGTAGGTGAAGTTGTATATCAGTCCCTGCGCAGATGACTTTCTGTGGAGAGAAGTAGCATTTCTCCACACTCTAGATTAGAATTAGGGCCTCATTCAAGTTTATAGGTGCCCCAAGTTACCAGGGAGATCCAGGCTTTTAGATGGGCCTTCCCTTTGAAAAAAATCAGCACTGTGAAAGTCTGTCACAGTATGTACAAGTCTGTACATACTATGTACAAGCGTGTGCACTAAGCCTTAAAGACACTGAATGCATGGGACTAGGGAAGCACCAATCACTCACAGTTGAATGTGAATGGGTGTGGGTGTGCATGACAACTCCAAGAGATTCAGTTAGGGCCCAGGTCAGGCACCACACTGAGGAGGGAGGGACAGGCAGGTTGTATAGGAAAGGTGTATGACGGGGATGGGGCAGGGACAGCTGACAGGGGAACAGGAGTATGGGACAGCAGCCCAGCAGAAACTGTTAGGCACTACTTTCATTCTCCACACTCTCAGAAACCAAAACTCCAAATCTGACCCAACAGTCCCTTTCCCTCACTCCATACTAAGAAACAACATGGATGGACAAGAAAAGAAGATGGAGAGCTTCCTCAAGTCCATACGGAGTCCTTTCTTAAAGGGCTCAGTTTCTGAGAGGAAAAGAGTCATCAGACAACTCCCTGGACTTTTATCAAACATCACAAGTTCAGCAGAGGGGAAATGTCAGAGTGAAAAAGGAAGGATGATCAGGAAGAGGAAACCACTCGAAAGAGGTAACATCCAAGACCTGCCAAGTGGTGGCATGAGCCCGTGGTGAGAATATCAAGGAACAAGCGAGTACAAAGGCCCTTAAATAGGAGCAAACTAATGGTAGTCAAGCAGTAAAGGCAGCTACCTGGCCCGGAGCAGAAGGAAGGTACAGAGCTAGGAACGGGGTTGGTTAATGGGGGCTTGTGACCACGTGAAGATGGGGCATGATTTAGGCCACATGACTCAGAACAAAATAGGAGACCTGTAAGATGGTGATCAGAGCAAAGCCACAAGGTTCTGGAAAGACCCTGGTAGTGGTTAATCGAGGTGAAAGCAGGAGACGTCAATAGGAATGAAGTAAGCGATGCTAGGACAGTGTCTACTGTCAGATCTGAGGTGAGCAATGTACTGGACAATTTCATGAATTTCAGGACACTGATGCTTGGGGCTGTCTCTGGCTTAAAGTTCTGGGGAAGTGGTGAAGAGCAGCCCTGAGGGCTGAATATGCAGCCGAGGCAGCTTGAAGGCACCAGCCAGCAAGTACAAAGTGTCAGTCCTGCCAGGTTCTGAGCAGGTTCTGAGAGCTTACTAAAGACCAGTTGCCCCAGAAGATATGTAACACGGCTCATGGGTTTATCTGGAGTGGGATGTAGGTCAGAGACAGTCTCCAATGTGTGTGGTAGAACCCCCTCTACAAGAAGCACATCAGTCCCTCACTGTACATGGTCACATTGGCTACTGGCCCCCAAGTTCAGGTCCTGCTTCTCCCAGCCTGCCCTCTGTACTACAAAACAAGACATGCTTGGCTCTTTCCCTTCCCACCCAATGGTCTAGACAGTTGCAAATAAATAAAATCTAACAAGCACTTGGATAAAGATTAAACACATGTTCCAAAGTCCCAAGTTGTTGGGGTCAGTTAGAAGCTGTCACCAGCTCCCTATCTTCACAGACCAGGCAGAGCAGGTCTCAGAAACAGGGCTATTTCTGAGCCAGTCTTTCACATCAGAGATGTCCCAAGACTGTAAGCCTGTATGGACCTGACTGCCTGATACCCCGACAGCCTCCATAGTGATGCCAGACCATCCAGATACCTCCAGGGGCCCCCCATTCCCATGAATCCTTTGTCCTCGCTGCTGCGAATTAGTTCCTTTCTGCAGCCTTGGAGGGTGATGGTGTTAAAGATCTTGACCTGGGGAGGGGGCAAGTCAGTGAGGTGAAGTGTAGGGAAATCTGCCATCTCCTGCAGAGCGGCCTGAGCCATAACGCAGCTGCTCTGCAGCAGGGAAAGGTGCAGCCACACTAGCAAGGCCACACAAGGGCCCTTTCACTCTGGCCCGCAGTCGCGCTGCTCAAGGCCTCCTTCCGCTAGAGGCGGAGCGCGTGCGCTTAGAGGATGAGGCCGCAGCGGCTGGTGAGTGCCTGGGTGTGAGCGGGGGAGCCTGAGCTGGCGGGGAGGCGGAACGCACCCGCAGAGGAGTGCAGCAGTACCCGGCTGCACCAGGGTCGGTGCATTCAGCAGGCTTGGGAGGATCCGGGAAGAACACGGTCTGTGGACGCGACTATGCAGGATGCCAAGCAGGATGGGGGTGGTGCGTGGAGCGCGGAAACACTCAGTATCTCTCTCGGGAGAACCTGCTGAAGCCCCAGAAAGGTGCGAGCTCGGCCGAGTTTGGGGGAAGAAATTCTGATTTGGTCCTGGACCCCGTTTGGTCCATCATTTTCAACTGTCGGGCAGGGTATAATGTTTTCTTCCCAAATAAAATGTATTCAAGATTTAAATGGTGGAATTAAAGATAAAAGAAGGAAATCACTGAACCGCATAGGCAGTTCTATGGGCCCATAAGAGTTCAGCAGCAAGCCAAGAATCCTGCAGCTCAATGGGCACATTGGGGTGGGACAGTGGGCCTGGTCACACCCATTGCAGCACCACCCTGAGTGCACAGAGCTGTAGAGGCAGAAGAATGAGTGGGGCAGGGAACTGATGGCAAGTCATGGAAGACATGACTTCATCTACATTTCAATTGGCTGTGGACACTGGCAGGGCAGGGTGGGAGTGAAGGATGGGGCGGGAGTGTGAGGTAAGACCCAATCCCTCTCACCCAGGGCAGTAGAGAAGGGAGGGATCTTTCCTACAAAGTTCTCTTTGCTTCGAAGGGAAGGTGAATACGCTCACCCTCTTCTTCACCCCAGCACCTCTGTGTTTACAGGTGCATCCATTCCACAACTTCAGCTCTGTCTTTCTCAAAGATGTAGCAACAGTACATTCCACAGGGGCCCCTCTGTGGACAACTGGATAGGTTATCACTTTATGGCATCCCCAGTAGCTATCCCCACCACCACTGAAGGAGCCTTTTATCTGACAAAAGAGGAGCTGCTCTGACTAGCCCCACCACACCCATTTGTAACTGCTCCTGTAAACCACATTTCCCAACTGCTGTGCAAACAGTGGCTCAGGGTTTGTTGTAAGGGAAAAAGGAGGCCCAGTCTTACAAAGGTAGGGCATAACAAGTTAAGACCCTGGGGCCCTAAATAGGTTCTTCCAGGTTCAGCAGACCCACGTGGAGAGAGAGGACAGCATCCAAGTGGGGATCCTGAGAACAAAGGTGGAGGAATATCTAACCCACAGAGCATCCAGCCCTGCCTAGTCTCATAGTCAGACTTCCCACTTTGGCCATTCCACCCACATTCTATTTTCATTTTACCCACAAGCAGGGTGTTGGCCAGGTCCATGACTGCCAGGAACTGGACAAGACTTGCACATGTCCCAAAGGAGTGTCCAACCTGTGAACTGGAAGGGACTCTGAATTCTTATTATCTCCTGACCTGAAGGAATGGAGCCTCAAGGTCCCAGCTGGTTTTGCAAGACAACTGTTGATCCCAAGCCCCATCTCAAGACACTTGGGGGATAAGAGGAGCAAAACATACAGTTTCACTTTGTCCAGTTCCAAGGCAAACTGCCCACTGTGCTTGGGCCTGTGAAGACAGCACACCAGCCTAGCTGGGCCTTCCAGCCATAATGAAGGGACCATCTCCAGGATGGGAAGGTAACCAGAATACAGCAGTCCACAGAAGAGAACTACTTACTCTCAAGCACATGTGAGAGACTCATTGTGGGTCTGAAGTTCTGACCAACCTTACCAAACTTGGAAGCATTCCTTAAGTCTGAGGGCACTGGTTAATATGCTATCCTTACAAGGCAAATCCTGTGTGCTACAGAAATACATGGGGCCAAGTACCTGACCATGATCACAGGTGGTCAGCACCAGGAAGGAGAGGAAGAGAAGGGGGACAGGAACTGAGGCCAATCCAGGATCCCTGCCTCCAAGGGAAGAACACACCTATCTTGATGCTGACAGTCCTTGGGCTGTGCGCAACACAGACATGTGTTCACTCACTCAAGTATGTACACACAAGCAGTAGCCTTATGCATATACTGCACACAGAGACATGGAACAGAGTCTGAGCTTCAGCCTGCCCCAGTTAGAATAGGCTCCAAGAAGGTAGAGAGAAGGCAGCCAGCATCTGGGTAGGTGGAGTCAGCTGTACATGACCCCAGAACCTCTCCTCTGGGGCCTCATACTCAAGCATCCTGCCTGACCACTCCTGTACCACCTACTCTCCCTCCTAACAAGACAGAAGCTGTTGCACCTGGAGCACCCACCCCTCTGCAGAGGGGAGTTTATCAGAGGCCCACATAACCATAATTACTTGTGAGTCTCTGATTATAGTACAACTCGCCGGATTAGCTCACCGGATTAGACGCTCAGGTAACACTCGTTTGGCGGGAGAAACCCATGACTCAGCTATTTGGGGAGTAAATAATTTAACAGCGAGTCCAGCACAGTATTCCCACAGGCCAGTCTCAGAAGCGCCTGCCAACCTTGTTCTCCGCCTGTTAACAGAAGCCAGAGTGATTGCAAGTTCAGCCCACGGCAGCCCCTGGATATTGCAAAGCCTACAGAGCCAGCCAGGTGTCCCAGGTAAGAACTGTCCTTGTGCCCAAACAACAGGCTCCAGAAGATGTGGCTTAGAGACAGGAACCTAGACTGTCGTTTCTCTGAGAATTGCTCAGATGCAAGGCAGGTGACACTTATGAGCCGATAAAGACGTGGGGTGAGCTCAGTGACTCTAGGGTATCATTGTTCTCGTGTTCCTCAAGAGCTAGGATGCCTGATAGACCGCCCTATTAGGGAAGCTGCTGTTCCAGTAACCAAGCCAGGCACAATAGGCTCCAACAGTCACCACCATGTCCTGAGTCCCAAGGGAACAGGGACTGTTTGATTAATATTACAAACAAGTACTTTGGAACCTGTAAACAGGATCCAGGGTCACCATGTGGTCAGCATGGCCTGAGAACCAAGGCAAGGTCAGATGGGGCTAGGACAGCTAGGCCAAAGGTGGACAGTTTGGTATAGTTGAGCCTCTGAGAAGAGGCTCAGCACTAGGAGTAAGGAGCATACTACTTCCGGAGCACAATGGTGCCTGGTGAGGCACCCTCTAAACTCATGGGGAAAGGTGTCACAGACTGGGGCCCCAGCACACACAATATACAAGGCCTTCTGCCCACCTCCAGGCCCACGGTGTTCCCAGAACAGGTGATGGCTTAAGAGAACTCATGGGGAAGTGGGGTGGCTGGCAAAGCCCCTTGCCAGACCAGATGGATGGGGAGTGGCTTGGAGCTCAAGCTCAGTCAGTCATGCACCTGCCTCTATTGTGACTGGCCTGGGCATAACTGAGCTTAGTCCACCCTTGTCTTGGTGGATGACCTTCAGAATGCTATCAGTGGGCTTTATATAGGGGCTGAATTAGGTAGACCAGAGAGCACAGCTAGGGCTGAAGCTGGTAGAGTGGCTCCCTGGAGCACACTGCTGTCAGGAGCACTCTTACCATCCATCTACACAGAAGAACGAGTGCTTGATGGAAGGACAACCTCTGATGTCTGTGTCTGAGTGGACAAACACTCGCTGGGAAGCTAGCTCCTAGGCTGAACTCCTAACCATGCCCATTCTCCCTTGTAGGTTGGCCAAAGAGCCTGGTGTGACAGGATGGATGCTTCTCCTGAGCCCCAACAGAAGGGTGGGACATTGGTGCTGGTCCGACGGCAGCCCCCTGTGTCCCAGGGCTTGCTGGAAACACTGAAGGCCAGGATAAAGCAGAGCTGCACCTGCAGTATGCCATGTGTTCAGGCTCTAGTGAAGAATCTGTTTCCTGTCATATACTGGCTGCGTCAGTACCGCCCTAAAGAGTACCTGGCAGGTGATGTTATGTCTGGTTTGGTTATTGGCATTATCCTGGTGCCACAGGCCATAGCCTACTCATTGCTGGCTGGGCTGCAGCCCATCTATAGCCTCTATACTTCTTTCTTTGCCAACCTTATCTACTTCCTCATGGGCACCTCACGCCATGTTAATGTGGGCATCTTCAGTCTTCTGTGCCTCATGGTAGGTCAGGTGGTAGACCGAGAACTCCAGCTGGCTGGTTTTGACCCCTCCCAGGATTCTCTGGGGCCTAAGGACAATGACAGCACCCTCAACAACTCAACTACAACACTGGTGTTTGGGCTACAGGACTGTGGACGGGACTGCCATGCCATTCGAATCGCCACTGCCCTCACTCTGGTGACTGGACTTTATCAGGTAAGGAGTTATCTGCATAGGAAGCAGGCTAGCTGACTCGGCTCTTAGAGCACCTAAAGGTGTTTGCCATTACCACCAGGAAAAACCTGGAATCATGTGGAGGAAGAATCCTTCAGGCTCAGAGAGAAAACAGCCCAGCAAGGGCAGAGGTGGAGCCCAGGCCTAGGTACCAGAGGGACTTAAGTCACAGAATGGAGGGATATGTGGGGCGTGGGGCTGGCCTGGCTGGCTATGGTCTGAGTAGGGCCACTGGGCCAAATGTGGCCATGGTTCAGATAAGCTAGACTACAACCCCAATGTCTACCTTGGCTTTCTGACCCAGGCAGGACCTAGGAGTAGAGATGCATTCCCTTGGCCTCACCATACTTAGCTCTTTTCTGCTGACGCTGTTTTCCCTATTACTCCTGTCTGCTCAGGAGGGAACTGGGTGGAAAGAGCTGTGTGTGCTACATACAAGGCACAGAGGAAGGGCCTGCCTCCTTCTGCCTACAGTCCTGATTCTGAAACAAAGCCAAGTTTCTGCATGTGTGAGAGTGTGAGAAGTGAACACCACAGCCAACTGCAACATCCTTGTGTTATATCCCTGTCTGTGTCTTCTGGCCCATTACACATGTGGAAACAGCAGGAGTCCATTCAGGGGAGTAAGCAAGGGTAGATACCAGGCTCTGTGCTGTAACCCTACTCCTTGGTATATTCATGCTGGCTCCTGCCTCATGGCCTACTAACTGACTGTACTCCATCTACAGGTCCTCATGGGTGTCCTGCGGCTGGGATTTGTGTCTACCTACCTCTCACAACCACTGCTTGATGGTTTTGCTATGGGAGCTTCTGTGACCATCTTGACTTCTCAGGTTAAACACCTGCTGGGTGTGCGGATCCCTCGGCACCAGGGCCCAGGCATGGTGGTCTACACATGGCTGAGCTTGCTGCAGAGTGTGGGACAGGCCAATATGTGTGACATGGTCACCAGTGCCATGTGCCTAGGAGTGCTGATAGCAGCTAAGGAGCTCTCAGACCGCTACCGACACTATCTGAAGGTGCCAGTACCCACAGAGTTGCTAGTCATTGTGGTGGCCACACTTGTATCCCACTTTGGACAGCTCCATACTCGGTTTGGCTCAAGTGTGGCTGGCAACATTCCCACTGGTTTTGTAGCCCCACAGGTACCAGACCCTAAGATAATGTGGCATGTGGCCCTGGATGCTATATCCCTAGCACTGGTGGGCTCAGCCTTCTCCATCTCGTTGGCAGAAATGTTTGCTCGTAGTCATGGCTACTCTGTTCATGCTAACCAAGAGCTTCTAGCCGTGGGCTGCTGCAACGTGCTGCCTGCCTTCTTCCACTGTTTTGCCACTAGTGCTGCTCTGTCCAAAACCCTGGTGAAGACAGCCACTGGCTGCCAGACACAGCTGTCCAGTGTGGTCAGTGCTGCTGTGGTGCTGCTGGTGCTGCTGGTGCTGGCTCCATTGTTTCACGATTTGCAACGGTGTGTGCTGGCTTGCATCATTGTCGTCAGCTTGCGTGGGGCACTGCGCAAGGTGAAGGACCTCCCACAGCTTTGGCGGCTAAGCCCTGCTGATGCACTAGTCTGGGTGGCTACTGCAGCCACCTGTGTGCTAGTCAGCACTGAAGCTGGACTGCTAGCTGGGGTGTTCTTCTCACTGCTCAGCTTGGCAGGCCGCACACAGCGCCCACGGGCTGCCCTTCTTGCTCGAATTGGAGATTCGACCTTCTATGAAGATGCTACTGAGTTTGAGGGCCTCCTGCCCCCACCTGAGGTGCGAGTGTTCCGTTTCACAGGCCCACTCTACTATGCCAACAAGGATTTCTTCTTGCACTCACTCTACAGCCTCACAGGGCTGGATGCAGGGCATTCAGCCACCAGGAAGGAGAAGGGCCGGGGGGTGGATGTTGATGGCCAGGATATGGGTTCAGTGAGCAGTGGGGCTGGGCTGGTGATACCCCTGGCATTTGGTTTCCACACAGTGGTCATTGACTGTGCACCACTGCTGTTCCTGGATGTGGCTGGCATGGCCACACTGAAGGATCTGCAGAAAAACTACAAAGCCCTGGACATCACCCTGCTTCTGGCTTGTTGCAGTCCCTCAGTGAGAGACTCATTGAGGAAAGGGGGCTTCCTTGGGGAAGACCAGGAAGCTGAGGATGAGCTGCTGTTTCCCAGTGTACACAGTGCTGTGGAGGCTGCGCGTGCCCGCCGTGAGGAGCTAGTGGCTTCTGACTCTGCCTTCTAGTAGGACCAAGACCCATCTATCTACACAGTCGGGCATTGGTGGCGCATGCCTTTAATCCCAGCATTCGGGAGGCAGAGGCAGGCGGATCTCTGTGAGTTCGACACTAGCCTGGTCTACAAGAGCCAGTTCCAGGACAGCTTCCAAAGCCACAGAGAAACCCTGTCTCAAAACAACAACAACAACAACAACAACAACAAAGACCCATCTACCCAAGCCAGTACTGAGCTCCTTTGGTGGAGTGATATGAAGGATGTGTCATTAGAGATATACCCTTGAACCATCTCTGCCCTGGAAAATCTAGGGAACTCCAACTGGTAGGAAAGCGCTGCACCCTTAACACATTCAAGGATTCCAAACATTCAGTGACTGAGACCTCTACCTCTGAGATCACTGCTGCCTCCTGGTGCCTATTCAACCCTGGGGGTTGCAACCCCACACACCATTCCTCAGCCAAGACAGTGCCCAGTTTGATATTCTGTGTTACCTTCTTATCTGAAACAGAGTCCTGCTAATTATGTTGGCCTCCAAGATGCCAAAAGGACACTTTCCCTCCCCCCTGCACCACCAAGTATCAGGTATGAACTGAACATATGGTCAAGGGGCAAGGGTCTGAATTTCCAAAATGCCTTCTCAAGCCTGGTGCTCATCTTGGTTGGCCCCTTGCAAAGGCAGTCACCTGCTCCAGAGCAGATGGTCTGGTGTCACTGCCTATAATGATGTGACTGATATAACCCCAACCTGACCTTCAGGCACTATGTCTCTACACAGCGTATACTGGTGACCACAATGTGGCACATGTATGGTATAAAGCCAGGCACAGTAGATACCAACCCCATTCTATACTTCTGAGAAACCCTCAAAAGGAAACCACCATCCAGGGGCTGCCCTTGGCACAGCCAAGCGGATCTTCCCCTCCTCTTCTGCCCAACAGGATGCTCTAATAGGAAGTACAGTCCCAGCCCTGTGACCCACGTGATGCTCCCTAACCCACAGCCCAGCACTGTACTCCACAGCTGGCCCAGACAGGGTCAGATCCACCACCTCGGCATCTCTGTACGACAAGCTCTGACCAGCAGTTCCCAGGGCACCCACCTCAGCATCACCCACCTGGCTGTAATGAGATCCAGCAGCCAGTGTATCCGGACCTGCTCGATGCCACTGTGAGGTACGGCACCTATGTAGGCAAGGTTCAGTTGCTGGTCCCAACTAAGGTCGTACTGGTAAGCTTGGTCGTGAGGCAGTGGGGGGCTGGGGACAGGACAAAGAAGTGAAGTGTTTATCCTAAGCAGGGACCTGCAGCAGATCAGGTTCTACACATTTATCACATGACTTCCAGGCCCTTGCAGAGGATCAGTGTGTGTCTCTCTACATTCTATGATAAAGTAGCCCTTTCACCAGAAATGTTCTAGAGTCTTGTCTTTGGAGGGTGGGCTTCAACAGGGCACAGTAGTATATTCTAGTAATAGGACATCTGCCTGCCATAGAAGAGGATCTGCACATTCCTAGAGAGACTTGGAGGTATTCAGAAACCAAGTCTGGTCCAACACTCGAGATCAGATCTTGGTACTTTGGGAGAGTCCTAGGTTCTGCCGAAGTACCACTCATGAGCCTATAGCCTGAGTACTGTGCTCTTGATCCCTGGGGGCCATTTAGGGAGACCCATAAAGTAGAAAACCCATGCCACACCCTGAAGGAAGGAGCTTGATCTTCACTCCTGAGTGTTCAGGAATGATGGGCTGAGGGCCCAAAGGTGTGATGAGAAGAACCCAGGGGACAAGCAAGAGGCTCTCCTGGACTTGGCAAGAGCTTGTGGTGGGCCTCACCAGAAGCCGGTGCTCCTCCAAAAGGGCAGCAGAGGCCTCAGCGGGCGGGCTGCATCCACACGCACCAAGTATGGGGTCTCAGCCAGAGCCAAGGCCTTGGCCAAGAACGCAGCTAGAAACGCCAGCGTAGCGGAGGGGGGTTGCGGGGGGCGCATGGCTAAGGTATCCCGGCGCCCCCGATCTGCAAGCCTTTAGGTCCCGGTCGCAGTGGTTCCGCCTCCGGGTAGCGCCCCACGTGATCGCTCGCCAGGCCGGGTCAGGACAGACCCCAGCACGCGCCGCCTCTTCCCCTAGCGAGTTCCGCCCAGGCTGCTTCGTCTCAGACTCTCCAAACGCCGAACGAACACTGACGGTGCTTGGAAGAACGCTGGCCTTGAGTGTCTTAGTGAGGCCATTATTCTTGGCGGTGGACGGAAAGGTCTCTCCGGAGGCCGACAAGAGGTTTGAAAAGCAAATCAGACACGACTGAATCTCGTGAGGAGTGGAGGAGAAGAGCTGTACCAGAAGATGGCGCTGCGAGACTGCTCCAAGAATTGGGTTTGAGGAGACAGTCCAGAGCTTGGGAAGAGCGGATCTATGCCTTTTCCTGAAATGGTGCTGCTGCTGTAAGACAAACAGGCGTGGTCAGAAACGCTTCTAGTGGACGCCAAAGGTCAATCCTGGATGTCTGTGGGCGGGGCTGATAGTGCAAGTTTTTAAGATTTGCATTGTGCACACACGCCGAGTAGGATATTAGCAACAGTGGAACAAAATCAACTAGGCCCTAACGACCCCTGTTCCAGGCACTCTTGATAGCACATGCCTTTAATTCTGGGGTTCCCTCGACAATAAAAGCAATCAAGTTTCACAACTCCGTGAGAAACCGCTTTCTCGTGCAGTCCTCCCCTGACACCAACCTTCCCTAGAGTCGAACAAGTGTTGATAGTTCCTTAGGTAGGTGATTTTAAGTCTTAGGTTCTCAGGACAGCTGGTAAAGGGAATGCTTGTAGGTGGAGAAATGAAAGCTCTTATGTCATAACCCCATTTAAAGATCAGAAACTCGGGAGCCCATGTGGCATTTCTTCAGCGACTGAAATACAAAGCTCAGTGTCCATAGATAACCTCTTCCTACTACTTGGAAGAGTATTCTGTTCTGTAAGAAGAATGATGTGTGGAAGCTGTACATTTGATCTTGAGTTAGTGAGTTTATTAAGCACATAGCAAACAAAAATAAAATAGCAATAGCAAAGCATCAATGTTGGTCACTCACAACACCAAACAGAAATGACTGGGATAGCCTGAGCAACATAGCAAAAGGACGGGGGGGGGGTGCTGAGGGAGGAATGGATAAAGCAATTGCACAGAAACATTCTAGAAGCAATGCAAAGGCAGTAAATGCCCCAGAGAAAACTGCTAAAAAGTTGAGTGGAGCATTTCAAATAACCTAAACACTGAAGTAACGGTAAGAGTCCAGGCTGGAACTAAAGAGGGAGACAGCAGTGGGAGGGAGATTGTTTCAGGCTAGCCTTCCTTAGAACAGCCAGTGATGGCAGGACCCTTGGGGTCATGGCTTGGGAAACAGTTTCAGTCAAGAACCTGAGAAATTGGGACAGTCCTATCGGTGTTGTGGGACAGAAGCTGAGGGTCAGGCTCAGCATGTTAGAGGACTATACTCTGAAAGTGAAGGTGATACAGAAACTGAATTGTTCTCACAGGAACTGAAGTTCAAATCTCCTCATGTCCTGAGTAAGTGGAGGTAAATATACTCCACCTGACAGAAGAGAGCATATTCCCTCCACTCTAGGAAGCTCAAGCTAATGAATCATCAGAGTGTGATTAACTGGTGCTGGAATGGCTCCCGGGTCAGGAAAAGATGATATTAATCTCACAGAGAGCACTTGGAAAAATTCTTAACCTGAAAATGTATGTTGCCCAATAAAATTCTGTCAGTCACAATTCCAAGGTGGTTAAATGACTTGACTGCATCACAGTGGGAATGGAGATGCATTTGTTCCTTTCATATTTGGGCTAACATATTTGGAATCAAAGGGGCTTTGTCCAAACAGCTCTGAAGTTCAAACCAAAAAGTAATAATATGAGTATGCGTAATACTTGAAGAAAAGCAAATTCAGCAAAAATGTTAATGATTGGTGGACCCAGGGTAAAAATACATACGACTATCCTAACTTTTCTGTACATTTGAAAAAAGTATTATTGAGACAAGGTCTTCTCTATATGTAACCCTGGCTGGGTTGGAACTTGCCTTGTAGATCAGGCTGGCCTAGAACTCACAGGCATCTGCCTGCCTCTGCCTCCTGAGTGCTGAGATTAAAGGCGTGTGCTACCATGCCTGGCATTATCATTATCATCATCATCATTTTTTAAATTTTATTTATTTATTATGTATACAGTATTCTGCCTGCATGTGTCTCTTCATGCCAGAAGAGGGCACCAGATCTCATTACAGATGGCTGTGAGCCACCATGTAGTTGCTGGGAATTGAACTCAGGCCCTTTGCAACAACATTACAGATGGCTGTGAGCCACCATGTAGTTGCTGGGAATTGAACTCAGGACCTTTGCAACAACAGCCAGTGCTCTTAATCTCTGAGTCATCTCTCCATCCCTTATTATTATTATTATTACTATTATTATTTTATATATTTTGAGACATGGTTTCTCTATGTAGCCCTGGCTATCCTAGAACTCTATCTGTAGACCAAGCTGGCCTCAAACTTAGAGATCCTGACTCTGCCTTCCAAGTGCTGGGATTAAAGTCATGTGCCACTACCTCCAGCTCCTATTTCTCTATTTTATGTGTATGTGTGAATGCTTGCATGTATGTATGTGCACCAAGTACCTTCCAGGTGTTCCTGGAGGCTAGAAGTGAGCATCAGATGGCCCGGAACTAGAGTTAAAGGTAGTTGTGAGCCACAATGTGGGTGCTGGGACCTGAATCTGGGTCTTGTGCAGGAACAACAGGTTCTCTTAACCACTAAATCATCTTTCCAGCTCCTTAAAAATTTTTTCAACATAAAAACATTGAAAAAAGCTGGGCAGTGGTGGCACATGACTTTATTATTTATTATATTATTTTATTATTATTATTATTATTATTATTATTATTATTATTATTATTTTGGTTTTTCAAGACAGGGTTTCTCTGTGTATCTTTGGAGCCTGTCCTGGCACTTGATGTACTGGCCTCGAACTCACAGAGATCCGCCTGCCTCTGCCTCCCAAGTGCTGGGATTAAAGGCGTGTGCCGCCGCCACCACCACCTGGCTGAGACTCACATCTTAAGGCAGCCTAGGCTACATAACAAGACCCTGTCTCAAAAGGTAAAGAACTGGGACTGTAGTTCAGTGGTACAGGTCTTGCTTAGTGTTCACAAAGCCATATTCAGATCTCCAGCACCAAAAAAATTTAAAGGGAGCTGTAAAGACCAAGAGGAAAAAGATGAAATGAAGTAACAAAGAAATACTGGAAGCAGCCAAATGGAAATGACCTATTGTCTTCAAAGAGCCAAACAATAAAATGAACACTGACTCTTCAGCAGAAGTACTGGACCTGAAGAGTGAAAGCAAACTTTCTAAGTCCTGAAAGCAGACATCTTAGTTTACTTTCTTACAATGTGATAAAACATGCTGACCAAAAGCAACTTGAGGGGAAAGGGTTTATTTGGCTTATGCTTCCAAATCACAGTTCATCGTTGAAAGAAGTCAGGGCTGGAACTCAAGGCAGGAACTGAAGCAGAGGCTGTGGTGGAAAGCTCTTACTGGCTTGATCCCCATGGCTACCTGCCCAGAGTTTACCAACCACAGTGAGTTGAACTCACCCACGTCAGTCACTAATCAAGAAAATGCCCCACAGACTTGCCTACAGGCAATTTTGATGGAGACATTTTTCCAATTGATGATCCCTCTTCCCAGAAGACCCTAGCTTGTGCCACACTGACAAAAAAATTAGTTATCATGTAAGTAACTGGTAGTTTAAAATTATAAGTTTAGCAAAAAAAAAAAAATTCCAGTTGGGTGCTTTGATAGATGCTTCAATTCTCAAGACACTCAGGAGGTTGACACAGGAGGATTGCTTGAGCCTAAGAGTTTGAGGCCAGCCTGGGCAACATAGTGAGAAACATATCTATAGGTCATACATAGTTACACAGATAGTTTGAAAAGCAGAGGTTGAATAGAAACATTTTAGAAAAATTGTGAAAAGAACTGTTGCCACCCATTTTTATTTTTATATGTTGTCCTTCAAGAAGAAAGATAATGATCCCTAGTCAAATGCAGAGGAACCAGAAAGAATGAAAAGTAGGGGTATAAAAGCTGTGTAAATGGCCGGGCATTGGTAGTGCACACCTTTAATTCCAGCACCAGGACAGCCTCCAAAAGCTACAGAGAAACCCTGTCTTGAAAAACAAAACAAAACAAAACAAAACAAAACAAAACAAAAAAGCTGCATAAATCTAAGGGATTGTGACTGCAGAAAGCCATGGTGTAGGAGTGTCTTATGGGGGCACAAAGACAAAGGTGTCTGGGGAGTTACACTGAATGCTAATAGCAGCGCAGGCGCTAGAAGTAGGTGTCAGTGTTGGAACTCCACTGTTATAGTTCCGGAACATGCAATCTTTATTGTCTGCTGAAGGGTATTTGCAGGCATAATTGCATTAAGATCTTGAGATGTGAGATTATCCTAGATTATCCAGTGGGTCCCAGATGCAACGGTGTGCTTACACAAGGAGGCAGCAGAAGATGTGCACGGAAGGGGGGCTATGGTGGCCCCAGAAGATTGTCCTAAAGCTAAACCAAGACTCTTACACCAGGTATGGGGGCTCAGCAGACATGGGAGCGACGTCCTGAAAGAAAAGGAGGTAAGATATTCTAGCAAAGCCTACCATTGTGGCCTGATGACATGTATGAACTTTTGATTTGTATTTGAGTACCAGAGGGCAAATTTCCAGCGAAGCAGTGCATCATACATGTGAGGGTGGAGCCATGTGTCATTTGAGGGTATTGTGTGCTAAGAGACTGCCTAAAGAGTGGCTAGGTGTAGGCCTGTCTGGTACTGAGAACATCCTGGCTAGGATGTCATCAGTTCCTCTCTGAACACCATCGCAGATTTTGGTCAGAGCGCTGCCAGCAATCCACCAGCTTCCATTGCCTTGCCATGCATTCCATGAATAGCAAGGGTCCCACCCCTCTGAGATCTGAGGCAAAGATGTCATCTTGCTAGCCTTTGGCAGGGAAGTGGACATGGGGAACTGTCTGTTTCTAAAGATAAACAGACCAGAGGGTCCAGGTTTGGCTCCGTCTTGTCTTAGAGAAGCCTTTCTGTGTGAAGCAGAAGAGGGATAAGCTATTCCTTTAGGAATAAGTTTAGCTCATTCCTTTAGATGGCTAACCTCCACTTTTTGTGTATCTTGCTTGTATTAACTATATTTTCTTACTTTCTGTGTTCTAGATGTGGCATTTGGGGCTTTGGTCCTAGATATACCAGTACAATGCCCCAAGTTGGCTAATTCCAGACAGCAAATGGAGTACCTTTGATATGAAGACTAAACATTTCAGAGTGTAGACTCACATTA